GTTCCTCTAAGTCTTCCTACCAATATGACCAAGTTGCGAAAACAAGGTCAAACAACCTCTATACAACAAAGGAGACTGTGACCACACAAATGGCCACACCATCTTGGTCTTCATACCTTCGATTAAGTGTAATTAATATTCTTTAAAGGCATATGGAAATCACTTCAGCCTTAGGAATTGGGGCTAATCTTGCCATTGGATGTTTTAAACAGAACTTTTTATTATATTTATTAGATTATAGACTTTTTGCTCTATGATAAAGAATTCTTTTATATCAAGCTTAACGTTTCACTTACCTCACTTATGAGATATCTTCTAATGCCTTCACTAAATTATTTTAATACTTTTCTATATTTTTCATCAGATTATTCTCATAGATGGCAATGTGCTTCCAAAAGAAGCTAGTAACTTTCAGTTTGCTCGTGCAGAAGCTCTCTTGCTGAGAGCCAAGATTAGACGCCCCAACGTCTCTCTCGAGGTGCATGCAGTCCCGATGCGCTGCTCCACTGTCAGTGAATCTAACATATCCTCAAACATCGCGAGTCATTTAAACCATGTTCAACCTTTAGATATTGATCCCGGGCTAGACTCGTGTTCTGCTGATCAGCCAATATTTTTCTCCCCTGATAACGAGGAATATAATTCAACAGAGGCTATGAATGAAGATGCAGGCACGTGGAAGACGATAAAAATAGATCGACCAACTTTTACTGATTGTATCCGTAGCTGCTGTATTGGTGCTTCAACTAATTCACCGAAGCCATTAGAGAAAAAAGATATATCCGAGATAGCTGGAACCAGAAGTGAAATTCTTCAGCCTCTGCGTCGAGGTGAACTGATTCGTTTGGCAGTAAGCAAGTATGCGACCGGAGCTGCACTCGTCTTTATTGAACCAGGTATGCTGGCCATTTTTGCTTGTTTTGATTTTAACTTTTGGTACTATCCTGTTCCGTAATTATTCTTAAAATATGGCGGAACAAATTTTTTGTAATTTTTTTTCATAAAACTATTGATAAGAGTCTTGCATTTCATAAGTAGCTTTTTCGAGACTCCTAGTAAGTCTGATATCCTATTTTGTTTAAGGTGCGGAAGGACTGACAGTTGAATTTTCCCATATTGATATGAGTATGTCTGACGCTTCCATTGCATTTCGTATAGCTTGCTTCCTAAAAGGTATTCTCATCCAGGGTAGACTGAAGTTTCAACCTTGCATAGGTCTCATCAGCTTACTCAGCGGGACTCGAACTCCGATAGTGCAGCATGAAATATAGACATTTTAGCAACTACGTCATTGCCACTAGTGTCCTTGGCTCACAGGCCTTATGAACATTTCGAGGAAGGCATTTTCCAACATCGCATCCTGTTGTGGGATCGTCGGTGAAGCAAAGTTGTATTTGCTATATCAATCGACTACATTACTTTTTCTTCTTTTCAGAAGTTGGTTTCTCGAGACTACTATATTATATGCTGCACTATCACGGTTCGACCTCCACTGAGGGTCCTGATGAGACCTAGTTGAGATCGAAACTGCAACCCATCCTGGATGAGAATATTTTTTGGAAAGCAAGGCTATATGAAATTTAACTATCAGCCCTTCCTCACTTTAAACGAAATAGGGTGAATACAGCTCTTACATTAGTCAGCATGTCACATTTACCTATAAAGTAAACATACAGAAAGGTAAAATTTAACTTTTTCTATTGCAGCAATTAAGGTAGCGAGATATCAACTCAATTATGCTGACCACTTTAATATTATTGGGTCCGAGTACAGCACAAGTAGCTTTGAGCAGATATCAGAAAGTCTTTTATTATTAGTGGAAACCAATTGGGAACAAAGCCATTTCGATGAAAAACTTCTTCTGTCAAAGAAGTAATGGAGCTTAAGTCAATTATCTTAATAAGCTAACATAGATGGAAATAACTGATCAAAGAGCTGAGCTATTCTAATATTGTTTTTAAGATGTTTGATTATTCACTTAAACATGATGCGTTGAAGGAAGTTTCTCTTTAGGTGACGTATAAATAATGACGGCGTATTCATGCCCATATGCAGTGGCGCTCATACAATTCTATTATAATATTTGAAAATATTCCAAATTGGCTCAGCAAAGTACGCATAGGTGGCTTTAAGTGTATGACGATTACTAAAGTCTTCACTCCTAGACAATCCTCCTTTGTATGAGTTGTGTTCACTCTATTTCGTTTAGGGGGATGAAAAACTGGTAGTTGAATTTTCCCACAATGATTGAAGTTCACATAGCCTTGCTTTTTCAAAAGGTGTTTTCATCTAGGATGGACTGTAGTTTCGACCTCGCATAGGTCTTATCAACACCCTAAGCGGGAGTTGGACCATGACAGTGCAGCATGTAAGCTTAACACTAACCACTACGCCGCATTGCCACGAGTGACCTTGGGTCACAGGGCAGATGTGAATTTCAAGAAGTGCCAGGCATTTTTTTCATATCACGCAACTCATATATCTGATTTATTGGTATTCTTTAAAACTTACTCACTTAAGAAAAGAATCCTCCTTTGGTTTCCGGTAAGGCCAATTCACGATTTCCTTCCAACCAGCTTTTCCTTGAAAATAAAAAGTCGGTTCACTAAATCATCAATGGATTCTTCTAATTCCAGCTTTTCCTTAAATCTGCTTAGTTGGATTTCAGCTGGTCACCTTTCTTGGAGTAGCGTTTTTGCGAATTTTTCATAAATTATGGTTACTGGCTCTATTTGTTATATGACAGACGAAAGCTCAGCATGGATTCATCTGGGCCACAGGACAGTAAATCGAGGAACTATTCGAGCAAACTATCCGCTACATCTCCATGGAAATCCTCCTTTTTTCGGTTAGGCAAACTTACGAGTCTGTTCCACCCGTCTTTTCAAACTAAATTCAAGGTGCGCCAGTATCGACTTGTCCATTATTATAATAAACCGAGAGCTGAATTCCTGCTTATCACTCACTAAAGGGCTGGTAGCCACTCTTCACTAGAATGTACGACCTATTATGGCAGTAGGCTCTCCTTTTTATAATGCCTTGGTTGTAAAATAAGTAAACAAATAGAGTGGGGATATATATTAGAATTTCTTAATTTTTTTATAAAGCATGCTTGTGGTATTAAGGTAGGCATTTTGGAATCTATAAAAGTAAGGTTTTACATTACCAGGATCAAGAGTTAGCAAAATCTTATTCGAGAATAATTGCTCATTAAGATTAATTGTCAATTATTTTGCAATACTTAGAGAGAAGGTGAGAAGACACCACTTTTAGGACATGACCAGAAATTATACAACCCTTCATCCGGGTTTTTGATGCTACTCTCTTTCCAGATTTCTAAAAATATATGTAAATTACGGAGGAAATGGAAAATCATCACCTTAAACGAAATAGGGTAAATAAATCTCATATAACTGATCTACTGGTAGTCTCGTAACTCTGCTTATATACGAAAAATAATTAATGTAGTCGATTGTTATAGCAAAAATATGTTTGCTTCATCGACAATCCCACCAAAGAATGTGATATGGGAAAAGGCATGACCTTCCTTGAGATTCACATCTGCCCTGTGACCCAAGGGCATTCGTGGCAATGTGGCCGAGTGGTTAACTTGTAAAAACCCACATGCTGTACTGTCACAGTTCGACTTCCTCTGGGGGGTTAATAAGACCAATGCGAGGTCGAAACTTCAGTCCATCCTGGATGAGGACAACTTTTGGGAAAGCAAGGCTCTGTGAAATTCAATTTCTTGGCCATGCCTTCCTTTGGAGAATCTTCAGACCTTCTCTGCAGATCATATTGTTATACGTTTTTGTACTCGTGTGATAGTGTCTAGGGGAAGCATCCTTGTCGATCTATACGTAAGAACACAAAACCTAATTCGAGGGCTTATAGATTCGAAACTTGAAGGTTGCTGAACGTATTTTCATTACAGGACACCAGATAGAATGGTATAAAAATCAACGTATTGCCAGATATGGGGACTTTCCAGCTAAGCGAAAGATTGAGGATTCTATTAAAATTAACAAAACAGACAAAATCCGAAATGCGGGGTGCGAGTGTAGGAAAGTAAGAAAGAACTATCTCCAGCTACTGGACAGAATTAGGCGAAGAGAACCTTGAATCTGGTTTGTCTTCAAAATTATAATCTGACTCATAACTATCATAAGCATTCACGAACCTGAAATAGCATTAGTATTGCAGGATCACACGATGATTTATTTACCTAAGGAAAAGTTGTGATCACAACATCTCCTCTATCATGTATCAATTTCGCTCGTTTACATGCATTTAGAGAAGGCATGAAGTAGTCAGCCAAACCATGGGATTCCTCATTAAGATCGCAAAGTTAGGTATTAGAAGTAGGTGTGATTTCAGCCGGCCACCTATCTTGGTTTACTGTTTCTTGGGGATTATTGGTAAATGATGGTTTCTGGCTCTGCCGATTGCCGTCACATGACGGACAAAATCTCAGCAAGGATTTATCAGGCTCGCCGAGGTTTTCTTCACACAATCCAACAGTCGCAAGTCCAAGGAGATCCTTCTTTGGTATCCGGGGCCAATTAACGTTTCTTTTCAACCCGCATTTTAAAAAGAAATAAAATATATGCCCATATCAACTTACTTTCTATTTCATCCGTTTTATTTTCTTTAATCGCCTACTCATTAACTATTTTCTGTCACATTTGCACATGTCAACTTTTGCTTCAATAAATGGCTAGACTTAAAATCTATAAATGAATACATAAGAGCATGATTGATAACTCTTTGTTTTAATAACCTTTGCTCAACCTACGATTTTTTAAGCCCTCTAAGTTTTGTCATCATTGATTATCATTTCTCCATATTTCTAATGCCACAAGGTGTTGAACTTCCTTTGAATTGGGATGTTGCTGTTTTCAAGTGCCTTGAAAAGCCAGGCGTTGGTATGGGAGTATTCGCGTATCGACTTTATGTTCACGACAAATATATTCATCAAAAAAATTTGAAATGGGCTCTTGGCTGTTATGCAATTAATCTTCTTGCAAATTATCGGATCAAGAAGTAAGTTTTTCTCCACAAGCGGAAATAAAAAGATAATCTGAACCTGCTTATACCATAAAAATATATTGTGCATATAATTTATTTTCATTATCCATGATGTATACATACATACATACATACATACATACATACATTCATTCATTCATTTATTCATTTATTCATTTATTCATTACATCATACATACATACATACATACATACATACATACATACATACATACATACATACATACATACATACAAACAAACATACATACATACATACATACATATATATATACATACATACATACATACATATATATATACATACATACATACATAGCGTACATATTATAATTTTTAGTGTTTATTCTTTTTGTATTTATTTCCCCAATCTAATATGGATTATTTATAATGAAACTCCCCACTCATTTTTGATTCCATTGTTGGAAAACATTATGGGATAACTTCCCATTTTTCATATTTTTGTGTCAAATTAATGCTTGATATAAGTAACTTTCGAGATTATCAGTAATTCTTGAATAATAACTTAGCGGCCTAAGGTAGTGTAAGGTGATTTAAGGACAAATATCTAAGTTTCTCCCGCAATTAGATTAGTAAACCTTATGGGGCCATTGAATTTCACTAGGCATTACCCCAAAAACTGTTCTCCTTAGGATAGAGTGCAGTTTCGCCCTTCTCTATATTGGGCTGATGAGACATAGGCGAGGTCGACACTTTAGTCCACCCTGAATAAGTTAGCTTTTTGGGAAGCAAGGTTAAGTAAAATTTGATAGCGTCATGAGGCCTACTTATCTATTTTACTGAATCGCCCTTTAGTCTTACATCATCTTAATCGACCTAGGATGACTAAGATCTTATCTAAATTTATATATAGTCGATTAATTTATCCTATTTCTTTTAAGGTGAT